AAAAAAAAAAAAAACCTTAGTTAAGTATTTTGAACTGGCTGAAGTACTTTACTGGCTGAAGGCATAGCAGTATGGAAAAAAAACCCCACACCAGTAAGAAGGCAGAAGCTTTACTGTGTCAGAGATTTGAGATAAGCTTAAGTGGCATGCAAGTTGGAGAGGGGCCAAGAGTTAGAATTAAAATTGCTCTTATTACATATACTGTATTTTATACCAGGTTTCAGTTTCAGGCTTATCCATAGTCTCAACAGTATAAAGAATGAAGCTCTGAAGTCCCTCTCAAACTGTCAAGTCAAACTGTCAAATGAAATGTAAACAGCACCATCAACCTGAAATCAGTTTTCTGACTTCCCTTTTTGCTATCGTTCTTGCTTGTAAATCTTGTCCCTGTTTAATTCACATGCACTGTTCATCTGGAACTATTTGCTAAAGCCTATGTACATATGCAGAACATGGTTTACATTTACCTACTTACAGACAGTGCTAACAATTCTGTGTTAACATCAGGGATGAACTTGGAGAGTACCTAGTGCTGCACGAGACAAGTGGGGCAGCTGGCTCTCCAGGGCTGCTGCACATTCTGTGCAGAAGGGAGCGCTCAGCTAAAAGGGCACTGCTGAGCAGCACTGTCTGTGTGGGTTCAGCTCTAGCTCACCGGGATCCCTTCTCCTGTTTTGAAGGAAGTCTCCCGTCAGGAAACAAAGAGCACCTGGTAGAAGCTGGACTGGGACCAAATTAACAAGGTAAGCAATGCTATTGATAAAAAGAAGCTTCAGAATATGAGCCTGTTTACTCATAAGCATCGTGTTCGACAACAGATCAAATGAACCAGATGTAATAATGTGGGGGAGAGGGGATGTTGCTGAGGGGAACTTCCTACAAGTAGATGGGTCGTTACCATTCAAATGAGGTTTAAAATGAATGATACCACATGGTTAAATGAGCTGGGTTTCAACATACAGCTACTTAGTGTTTCTAGGGATCCAAAAGCTTGTTTTACGGCTTAGCTTGCGCACCACGAGCACCTTGGCTGCTCCTGAGCAATGATGCCACAGCGTGCACTATACACAGATATGGACTCGAATTAGACACTATTCTAGCTTTGCTTTTGCTATTCTTGCACCACAGATGCTCATAAAGCACTGTTAGAACAATACACACAGTATAAGGCCAGTATCTAAAACTGCTGCTTTCTCTTACCATGATGACAGACACTCCAGCGGATGTGTTGTTTTGCTTGGGCAGGGTATTATTAAAGTGCTGCTTCAGTTTACCTGTTACTTCAGCTTGCATATTATTCTCCTGGGATGCATCATCCTGTGTAAGAAGATAGGCAATACTCAGGTTAAAAGGAAAAGAAAACTTGTGCTTAAAAATAACCAAGCAAATGAAAAGCTTTCAATAATCCTGTGGTACTTTCTGCTTTTTAATGTGAATTAAGTGTTCAGCTAAGCAACTTAAAACCCAATGCCCTCTCCTAGGTGTGATGCAGTTCAGATGGATTAAGACAAATTATAGATGAAAGGAGCATGGCAAACATAGTTTTCTGCATGAAAACTATAGTTTCTACATGAAAACATCTTAAAATGCCATGTGACCGTGTAAAATCCTAATCTGTTAACTTGGCCCATTAAATGTGATGCCACGTATTTGATCCAGGCAAAACTATCATGTTGCAAACAAAAAGCATAATTATTTGACTTTACTTACTTATCTCAGCATTTTAAATGGCCCACCATGTCCCAGAGGTGTGGAAACAGTACACAGCGCCATAAACATGTTTGAGAGGAGCACGGACACCCACGTGTTACAGTTGTCTTCTCTTACTGAAGGGAACGCCACAGAGCTTATTCATTCCCTCTCTTAAAATGAGTGTGGAAATACATATTGACTATTTACATGTAAACCTAATATCAATTAACAGTAACCTGATTTTAAATCAGTAAGCAATCATGCACTTCGGCTTTCGCCATTGCTAGTGTCAGAAAAGATGAAGACCTGTGAGGCAACAGCGAATATTCATGACAAAACCACCACATTAAGTTACATACTTTATTTGGTTATTTTGCTCATTTTGTTCTTCTTGTGAAGGTTGGAATACCTCAGAAAAACAGGGCATTGTAATGTCTTAAGTGGCACTGTAGCAAGTAAGATGCCAACATGCACAAGAGTCCTTCTGTACACGTACTCTGAGATGAGTGTTTTCTGGGCTGAACTTGAAATAGTAACAATGGTGCCCAGTTTTTTACCAGAGTGCTTTTTTGGTTGTTACTGTTTGTTGTGGTTGTTTTAGCATTTACTCACTGACACCCAGGGATGGCTTAGGATCTGTGCTGCTGTATATCGGGCTTCCGCGTTCACGTGCAGCATCAGGCTAATTAACTCCTAAAAAAAGACACATAAGAACATGAGGAGAGTGGGGAAGGACATTCAAATGGAAAAGTGTTGTTTTTTAAATCTCTACCCCTTCACTGAGCTCTTCTAGCAGCCACTATGGAATCTTCCTACACCCTAGGTGGAAAATGAGCCCACCCTGATACCGGAACTCCAGTGTGACCTCGGGAGGACCAAGTCTAGGTTTTATGGTCTGGTGGGCAGTGTATGCGTGTATATGTACATGCCTATACGTGGTGTCCTGTACTGGTGTTTCAGCAGGTGTTTGGAGAGGCCAAGAGGAGGTGTTGGGGCACGCGCTACCGAGGGGCCGCAGGCAGAGCTGGGCTGGCCGAGCTCCTCCCCAGGCGCCAGCAGGCAGCGGAGCACAGCGCACTACGGGCACAAGGCAGAGGAGCTCCTGCAGTTTTAGAAATTCAAGAAACCACTTAAATAATTTAAAAACCATCTTCCTTTCAGGGTTCTTCCAGATGAATAGAGTGTCTTACTTCACTAGCTAAGGATTGACTGGTCTACGAATAAGTATATAGGGGAAAAGTGCTTAATTTTAAGTATATGTTTAAATCCCTACCATGTTTAAGTGGATGATTGTGGCTTTTGTCACGTTTTGGATGCACCTGAGCAATGTCCTCCCCTTCACCGAATGATTCCTTGGCCCTTTGGTTAACGGCGGGCCGAGGCTGCCCAGATGTGGGGTAAACCTTGCGAGGTCGTTTATGCTGAGCAGTCAGTGAAGTTTGGATTTGCTTCCTTTGTGTGTTTGTTCATTCAGGTTTCTTGCCCTACGGCAGCAAACCTGCCTGCAACCGGCCACTATTTATTGGTGTAGCTCCTGCTCCTACAGGCCTGGAAAGACAAACATTTCTCTCTGCTGAATGAACAAGTTACTAGAGCTCAATTCTTCCAGCTGAAAATCCTGCCATCACTCCCAAACTGTCAGTTTTCATAGTGAGTATTCATATTCATGTAACTGTTCTTACTCAAAGGCATTTCATGGTGATGTCTCTTCAGTCTCTGGAAAAGTGTTTTTTCAACTGGATAACTGCATTGGTAGCCGAGAGGTTTCTAGGCCAGCTAAATTATAGTCTGCAAGTCTGAATGGAAAGGTTACCTCTCGTTTCAAAAATGACACACTCCAGTCCTGTCTATTCACAACACAAGTTTGAGGCGTGCAAGATGGCTGCTGCCTGGGAAAGATTGCCAAATAGATTGATAATCCTCACAAAAAAAAAAATCATTCAGAGGACGTGACTGCGTTAAATGAGAAGAGAGGGCTTAAAATTTAGAATCTGTATCCCTACACATTTGCTCATTTTACACAGAAAGGGAGTTGATGATAGTACCAGCCAGAACCATTAACAGTGGCAGTCAAGTTGGCTGCCCTTCTTGGAAAGTTCTAATAACAACTAGCTCATGTGTGAAATTATAACAAATAAGGTCCATTACATTCCACCCACATGGCAATAATTTTTCTTTTAAAAGAGTGCTAGGAGGGAAAATTGAGAGAGACACTTATTTTACTGCTGAAGCATTGAACTTATTGTAACAGTCCATCATTAAGTAAACTGACCAACATGTGCTGTTCTCTGGGTGCAGTCAGCTTTCTGCTACACTTACTCATTCAGACAGCAACATGACAGGAGGGCTGCAAAACCTGGGCTTTCATCAAGCACAGTTAAGCTAATTTAAAAGGCAAATTGAGAGAGTGCATCTCCAGTAGGGCACAGTCTTTTCAGTGGCTTGTCAGAAACACTTTTCCAGACTAGACAACATCTGTACCTTAGCTGAATCAGTGATATTATCCCAGTATGGAGAAGGAAATTCCAGCTTCCCAACAAGTATTTGATCAAAGAGGTCCTCCTGAAGGTTGTTTTCACTGCAGAAAAATAGTAATTAAAAAAAAAAAAAAAGACGCCTGTCACACAAGTATTAAATTTAATTTTGAGATGCAGCAAAAATCATGCCATCATGTCAACCACTGTAAATGCATAATTTGCAAGCTTATATAACGGTAGCCCTTTTGAGATGTCTTTGCTGTAGTGGTGCACACAGCAGAAATGAGACCAGAAAGATAGTGCAGGTGAAAGGGCTGCCCTGGGACAGAGGCTGCCCAGCCACCACGGATAGGAAAGGAGATTCAGAAGGCACCCACTCGCCTACCTGGCTGCCAAGGATCAGCCATGGCAAGAAATGGTTGGGGGGGAAAGGTAGTGAAATGATACCTGCTAATTAGGCTATTTCTGTACTGAATAATTTGCCTCTTGGCTTGGTTTGTATCAAATATTAAACCTGGTTAAGGACCTGATCCTAGTTAATGCTGTATAGTCGTCACCTCTCCACTAATTGCAATTGCTTTGAATGGGATACTGTATCCTTTAGAAGATATTTTAGTATTGATTATGAATTAACTACAACCAGAAGACAGATACCCCTCCTCTGCTGCTGATGATTTATACTATATTTTCCCCAGAATATTTTTATTAAGTCTCATGATTTTTACTGGGGGTGAAGAGAGGGGAACAAAACAAACAGATGAAACCACTTGCTTGGGATAATTATACCTGCATTTAATATCACTAATAAGAGCACACTAACAGCATATGCATGCCTACCTTTAGCAATTCAGATGAGAATGCCTTAAAGAAGTGTGCTAATTGCTTCTTTTTCTCAAGCAGAGAAGCTTCCCAGGAGCGAAGCGTATCGCTCCTGGCACTGTGGCACGCAGCAGCAGGGACCATGCTTACCGAGCCAGGGCTCGTACGGCACTGCCAGAAAGTGTCGGAAGACTGCAGTGCACCAAGCAAGCTCTGTAAGCTGGGTCAGGGCGGCCGTGTCCACGCAGCAGCGCTGGAGGGCAGAACGCGCAGCTGGCCCCACAGGAGGCAGAGGGAGGGCAGGAGGCCTTGGGCCTTGTCCCAAGGCCACTGCTCCCATAAAAGGAACCCCCCCACACACCTGAGGAGAGGGACAGCTGAGGCCAGGTAAAAAGGACAAAAAGGCAGGGGGTAGGACACGCTGGGCTGTTCTGGCTTTGCACTATTTTTGTCTTTGTTGTACAGGGACACGCACCTGCGAAAGGGTGGAAAGCCACAGAGCAGGATGTAGGTGATCACGCCAGCGGCCCAGATGTCCACCTTTAAGCCGTAGCTGCAGAAGGGAGACACCGTGTTACTTGTGCTGCACAGTGCCCAGAACTGCATGACCAGCTCCTGGCAACCTGCTCTCCCCCGAGTCTTCGGAAGGGGCTCGGATTCCAACCATGATCAAGGGTTCCCAATGCACAAAGAGCCCTGGCAAGGGTGCCAAGGAGGGGGCTGCCTTTCCCTCCTCGCCGACACTGCCAGGCCAGGCGAGAGGCCGCGGCAGCCTCTCAGGCGAGCAAGCCAGAAATGGCACTGTCCTTTGGGAAGTGGAGAAAGGAAGGAGGAAGGGGAGGTCTTCTCCCCATAGTTTTTCCTGTCCCGTATTCAGACTTTTTATCCAAGTCAAGAGGGGCCCTGCTGAAGCCCCCCTCTCCTGTCTGAGCTTGCTGCAGCTCTGAAACGCACTGAACCAACGTGGAAACACCACAAGAAGCCCCCTCGCATGGAAGGGCCAAACTAGGGACGGCCCCTGTGAGGACAAGAGTCAGGGGGCATGGAGTGGATGGAGATCCAACTGTGTGAATGCAAAGAAGATGGGCAAAGTTGTGGGTTTTAGAAACTGGTCTGTTTTTATGCAATCACTTGATAAATACAGGGTTTTGTTTTGTTTTGTTTTTTGGTAATTGTACAATGTTATTTAAAGAGCAGTACCTGCTAAATGGATCTGCTCACAAAAGCTATGTCATAGTTATTCATCCTCACCCTGTCTCCGCGATGATTTCTGGAGCCACGTACGTGGGTGTCCCACAGACAGTGTAGAGAGGGCCTTCAACCACAGTTGCCAGCCCAAAGTCTCCCAGCTTTAGCGACTTGGTGCCATCTGAATATTCACATACCTGTAGGCAGCAAAATTAAATTCAAACAGAACAGTCAGAAGGGCTGCATTTTTTTTTTCCTTTCATTTGTTTGGAAGATAGTCACAGAGAATGACTCTGTTTCCACAGCAGCATCTACACTGGAAAGGGGGCTGCCACCGCAGACTGCATTGAGTGCTGGCTGGAATACGTCTTCGTTAGAAGAAGTTACACGCTTCAGCTTCTGACCAAGGCCTTTCATGTAGTAATACCTGCTAATAAACTCTGTGCATGGCAAATCAGTACCCAATAGATCTTCCAATTCTATGCCMTTTTTCCAGAGGCACAGACATCATTACAATGCCAAGACCTTTAAGAAGGTGCTTTGTGAGCCCTGCATCTGTAGTTATCTAAATAAAAATATCTCCTAGGATCTCTATACAAAAATATCTGGAGAGCACAAGCTTGTAGTATCTGTACAAGTGCTGACCAGACTGCTGCTTCATCTCAGGACAGTTTTTGAAGGCTGAAATAGTTTTGCACCATTTGATGGAGGCAGTTTATGGAAGGGTCTTCTAATGTTTCCCTCTTTTTATGAGCTAGGATGAAGCTGCTTCAGAAAGCCCACTTCCCTCCCCGCAATGGCGTTCTGTGACTATTTACCAGTGGTTCCTTATGGGCTTGATGTAGGCAATTAAGTATAAGGTAAGGTACTAATAGAAACACTTTTTGTAACAGGCTAAAACGGAATGTGTTTGTTCTGGACACAGTATCTGTGGATAAAACATTTTCCTGCCTTTTTGCACTATATACATTTTTTTTTTTTTTTTAACCAAGCACGTTGGAAAAAAAAATGTTTGCTGTGTGGGGTAGTTGTAAGTACACTAAGGAATCTGAGAATGTTGTTAGATCATTGATTTCCCCAGAGAAGCAAGAGCCCAGATACCATATCTAGCTGCATCATATTGCAGAGTAGTTTGAAGAAATAGCATTGGGAATCAAGCTGTCCTTTTCCGCTCCTCACATTTCACAGCTGGCTAATACCCAGTCCTTGTGGGCAGCTGCCTGAACCCAACATAGCTTTGCTCCTAGTCTCGTGCCATGTCAATAAATGAAAAGCCGACGCACGCCACCGGGAGCAGCAGGAGACCTGCACAAAACCTGAGACCTTCACCAGCCAAGCTGAAAAAGAGAGTAACTGAAAACGACACTCATGGCCACAACCTCATATGCCCTGGCCCACCTGACACTTTTATTTTTGACATATATATGAGTGTGTGTCGGTTTGTGCTTGCCTGTGTGTGCGTGTCTGTGGGTCTGCGTTAGAGTGTGTGAGAAAAACGTGCATGAGCGTATGTGAGTGCGTGCGTGTGAGTGCGGCTGTGTGCGTGTGTGTGTGCACACAGGTACACGTGTACAGGTAGGTGTATGGACATGTGTGTATGTGTGTACATGTGTCTGGGTGTGTGCGTATATAAGGATGAGTGTGTGTGTGTGCACATGTCTGCACGTGTACAGGTGTGTGTGCATGTGTCTGTGTGTACATGTACGTGTACATGCATTTGTGTGTGTCTGTGTACATGTCCATGTGTGTATGTGTGTGCATGTGTGTGTCTGCATGTGTCAGTGTGTGTATGCAGGTGGGTGTGTAGGGGTGTGTGTACATGGCTGCATGTGTGTGTGTGCAGGGGTGTCTGTCTGGGGATGTCTGTGGGGGTATGGGTGTGTGTCTAGGTTTGTGTGTATGTAGGTGGGTGTGTGTTTAGGTAGGGGTGTATATGTAGGTGGGTGGGGGTAGGGTGTGTGTGTGTGTGTGTGTGTCTGTAGGGGTGTGTGGGTGTATGTGTGCAGGGGGTGTGGGTATAGGGGGGTGTGTAGGAGAGTGTGTGTAGGAAGAGTGCGTGTGTAGGAGTGTGCATGTGTGTGTATGTAGTTGTGTGGGGGGGTGTAGGGGTGTGTGGGTGGAGGGGTGTGCGTGTGTAGGCATGTGTGTGTGTGTCTGTGGGGGTGTGGGGGATGAGTGTGTGTATGTGTGTCTATGCGTGTCTGAGTGTGTCTAGGTGGGTGGCTGTTGGGGTGGGTGTGTATAGGGGCATGTGGGGGGTAGGTGAGTGTGTAGGGGCATGTGCGTATATGTGTGTAGGGGCATGTGTGTATACTGGTGTGTCAGGGGGGTGTGTAGGTGCGTGTGAGTGTGTGGGTGTGTGTAGGGGGAGGGGTGGGTGGATGAGTGTGTATGTGTAGGGGCGTGGGTGTGTGTGTAGGTGGGTGTGGGTGTAGGGGTGGGTAGGTAGGGGTGTAGATGTGTGTGCAGGGGCAGAGGTGTGTGTGTGTGTGTGTGTGTGTGTGTGTGTGTGTGTGTGTGTGTGTGTGTGTATGTAGGTGGGGGTGTGTGAGGGTGGGGGGGTGTCTGTATGTGTGTGTGGGGGAAGTTTGAGGGTATGGAAGTGGGTGGGGGGGTGTATGATAACGCTGGTGGCTGCCTCCAAAATCCCTGTCTTGGCTCTAATTAACATTGAATCGTGCGTGTTGCTATGTGTTACCTGACAGGGGAACATTCTCCTTCTGCTCMTTCTCTACAATCCTAATTAACTGAATGAATGAGCATGAATACTCTGGCAACAAAACAGAGCAGGCAAAAGTAACACCAGCTTTCAAAACTAAACAGCACACTCTTCTGAAGGAGGAGACTCAGTAAAACACCAGTAACTACCCCCCCTGCCCCGCCGCCAAAAGGACAATTGATAAATACACTCCCAGGCCAAAGACTCTTGCAGATGCCCTTAAATAAGTGAATGCAGCCATGAAACCTGTGCTAAGAGGGCAGTACTGTCAGAAAGCACAGCAGGGACGACTCTTCCCAGTTTGCTCCACGAGATGGCAACAGATGATTCCATCTGTGAGACCGTGGCTATGCTGGCTGTTAAATTATGTATTRGGGTTAAGTTTCTCGTTGCTTGCTCTAGGGAAAGAGGAAAGCTGGTGTGGCAATTGCCTGCATAGTGCAGCTGGAGCCAGTGTTCAGCCGGCTGCTGGCTCTGTAGGGCAGGCCATGATTTAGCCTGAAACARCAAGAGGAAAAAATACTACAGGCACAGATCTGTCTTGAGTATATTAAGAAAAATAATATATATATATATATACACACACACACACACATATACATATATATAGTATTTTTAAATCTATATTTTATAGTTTATATTAGTATTATATAATTACACAATCTATAAACAAAACAAAATATATAAAATAGTTAATATATAAATATATTAAAATTTATATTTTATATATGTGTTAGAGCATTATATAATTATTTATAATATACATAATTATAAGTTTTATATACAATGCATTATATTGTGTATATATATTATACATTATATTGTGTGTATATATATGTATGTGTATATGTACACACACACACACACACATATGTATATATACATATATACACACATATATATGTGTGTGTGTGTGTGTGTGTGTGTGTAGAGAGAGAGAGAGAGAGCAAACACCCTGCCGGCGCTGGGCTCCTCAGGCTCCAGCAGTGACCAGGCTGACTGGGAAGCGGCCTTACGGCCACAGCGGGTCCTACACAGAAGCGCCACCAGGGCTCCGGCACGGCACCGGGTGTGCGGCGAGTGCTCTACAGACACCTTTTTTTTTTTTTTTTTGGGGGGGGTGTTGTCACTTTGCTCAAGAAAGGCTAATACAATGCAAATAACAAAAACAATAATAGTAAAACTCAATAAAATCAATAATAGTAAAACTCAATAAAATCAAATCGGCAAAGGAAATCATATGGAAACACCTCAAATCTTGCTTTGTTCTCACAGTCTCTCTCTCTCTCTCTCTCTCTCTCTT